TTGGCATCTAGAAGGGTAAGATCTAAGCGTGTCTTGTCTTTTTGGTTCCATCTTAGTTGTCTTTTCTTAAAGGTTGGATCTTTATGATCTTTTGGTTTGATCTTGAAGTGGGTTTGGCTAGTGAGCTTAGTGGAGAGCTTGTTGTGGTGTAAGAAGAGTCTTTTGGTCTTCAAGAGGTAACCCATGCTCTACAAAACCTATTTTGCTTACCTATATATGATTTCTTGGCTTCTACGTGTGTTTTGCTATGAAATGTTTGAGTTTATGGATTTATCTTGTGATATTGCATATCTAGAGCTTGTGTTTAGGTTTCCTTTGTGCCATTGCTTGGCATTTTCCTTGCTATGAAATGTGAGATTTGGCATGTTTTGGACTTGAATTTGTGTTTGGAGGAGAAAATCCCCGAAGGGATTTGTTGTGGTACAGGGACGTACCCGCGGGCGGAACGGTGGGCGGGGCACCACCCGCCGGCCTACTCGCGGGAACGTATGCCTTGTGGGTGTTGTACCCGCGGGCGGGACCACGGGTGGGGCACTACCCGTGGGTCCACCCGCGGGGAACGCGTTGGAGTTGAGATGGGATTTGTTCCCCGTATTTTGTTTGTCTTGGTCTTTTGGCTTCCCGTTGTTCTTTTGTGGAACTATTTGAGCGTCTTCTTGATGTTTCATAGGTCTAGAGCTTTATGGTAGGTATCCATGTAGGATCTTTGGTGTTGTGTATCGTGCTAAGTGTTCAATATTGCGTTTCGTTGAACCGTGTGGTGTCTTGTGTGTTTCTCGGAACTATCTTGAGTTTCCTCGTTGTTGAGCTTGCTAGTTATTATCTTAATGCTAGCGTCATTGTTGTCGATGGGTGGTGACCTGTCTCTTGATTGAGTATGTTTCATACCTTCTTTTGCAATCCATTGCTGAGTGGTGGTGCGTGTGTGGCTTTACCTGGATTGCACGTGTAGTGGTATGGGACGCTAGTCACCAAGGTATTGCAGCGGTCCTCGTGGTGGCCGTGACGTGATTTCATGGAGTTGTGGTTGAGTCCACGTGTTTGGGGGATAACATTGTGTTATCCGGGCATGTGTTGCCGTGAATTGGTGGGTTTTCGTTGGTGGTTATTGGTGGGGGACGATGGTCCCGGAGGAATAAGGTTGGACTTGGCTGTACAGCGGCATTCTGGAGGTAATGGTTGGCACCGAAGGTACAAGGTTGGGGGTAGCCATAAGGTTGGAACAGGGCATAAGGAAGGCATATCAACTCGTGATGGGTGATGTCACGAGGGCTTGTGAAGCCGTTGTTGTGGTGAGTTCTCTTCTCTCGTGACGTGTGTAGTCACGGAGGCTTGTGGTGTGGTGTTTTGGCATGTGTTGCCGTTGGGTGAGTCTTTATCCTTGTGTGTGGTTAATCTTTGTGGTTGGGATGTGTTCCTGGTTTTGTCCGTGTGAGGGGTGAGTCTTGTGTTGTCTTTTGATCTTGGCTTTTGACTTATATATATGTATTTCGTTTCGAAAATGGTTTTCATATTATATATCTACCTATTTATGATACTTAACGGTATTGGTTGGTTACCAGCATCTTTCGCTGACCGGGCGTCGCCCCGATGTTTATCTTTGTATCTTTCAAGTGATGCGTAGTCGAGCGCGATGTCTAGAGCCGGTAGCTTAGCACCTGTATCTTTAGACAGTGTTGTTGAGGCCTGTGTGCCAATGTCTTAGACTGTTCTAGTTTGGTTGTTTTTGGGATAGTGTTACACTTGCAGATTGTCGCCGTAGCGTATACCTAGTGGGGTATACTTGGCATAACACCCCGTTTTGGATTCCTTTTATCCAGTTATCTTTTTATCTTCTGCTGTGCTAGTTTTGTGCTTGATCTGCAGGTGTTAAGACTCGTTTTAAGTAGTCTTGTTTTTTTTGGGGGTGTTACAATTTCAAACTTAAATTGTCAACATCAACTAAACTTTAAGGATTGCTTTAAGCTATTCATCAATAAAAGACTTACACCATAACTTCATCAATCTCTTATTGAGTGTAGGGCAAACATCCTTGTCTCTCCAACATGAATTTCATAATAACATAATGACCACATTCAATAGTTCCTCTTTGTATGACACACTACAATTTTGAATTAAAATATAATTACAAAATTTTTTTTACTAAAAAACAATAAGATAAATGTAGTTTTACAAAATATATGAAATACTTACCGAACATATACTCCATTTTATGGAACGATTTGATTTCTTTCTGTTAAAAATATAGCGGAATAATGCGGAAGCGAAGAATCAAAAATTGAGAATTATAGAATTTAAATAATAGGGGAAAATATCTAAATGACAAAATAAGACAATTGTTAATTTGGGAAATTATAACATATATATATTAACCTCTAAAAAGAGAATAAAGAAAACAAATATATATGTATGTCTACGTGAAGAAACTAAAGATAGAAAGAAGAATTCAATATTGATGTTGAATGAGAGGTGTGATTCTCAAACCACAAAGCCTAATCTATTTATACATGCAAAGGAGAGAAATTTAAGCTAATGGTGGAAGAACATGAGCAGCTACGTGGAGATGTTGCGGCAATAGCGAAGGAGACAAATGCGAAATGAAGTAGTTCGTGGTCCACAAGCCAATATGCATGGATTTGATTTGAGCCACATCCTAACAATCTCCAACTTGGATCAAATCCAGTGTAAAAATTAACAACCGAAACAACCGACTAAACTCAAGCACTACTTGAACTTAGCAATAGGAAAAACTTCATAATAGCAGGATGGATCACCATCAACTTCCTATGCGACTGAAAGAGCATAAGCGACCATGTTGGTTTCATCATCACTAGCATACCTAGCAGGTTTTTTAATTGTCCTCCTAGGACGATCCAAAGCAATGGAATACTCTCGTTGTGGCTCGACGAGAGGTGCGGTGCTAGTAGATGCATCAGACATTGATGAGGATACCGCAACTGAACCTGTCACAGTACTGCCATGCAAGACGTACAAGCTTCCAGAACGAGAAGCTTTCATGAGAACAAAAGAGCATTTGATGACCTTTAGAACTCCACCTTCAGCTGTGTCCTTGCACCCCAGAGATTCCAAGGTGCCCAATAATATCAGATTGTGTTTCAAATCAGGAATATACCGGACATTGGTAAGAGTCCTGACAACGTTATCATGAGTTTTAATCTGAACACTTCCAATTCCACTAACCTTGCATTGGGTATCATTACCCAACAAGACAACTCCACCATCAACCGGTTCCAGAGAAATGAACCAATCTTTGTGGGGACACATGTGGAATGTACAACCAGAGTCCAAAATCCACTCGGTTTCACTCCGTTTCTCACCGGAGGTAACAGATATCAACACATCACCATCTGAATCACTTTCAACAACACTAGCTTCAATGGACTTCTTTTCTCTCTCTTGCTTGTTTTTCAGCTTGAAGCATTCAGTCACATCATGTGATCATGCTTCTTGCAGTACTTACAGGATTTGTTGGACTTGGATCTAGATTTTTTATTGCTACTCTTTGTTTCAAGTGAATGACCCCTTACAGTCAAGCCTTCACCTTTGTCCTCAGACTTAATTTCAAAGTCAAACTTTTCTTTGGATAATAGGTTTGACTTAACATTGTCGAAAGTAAGGGTATCACTACTATTACCATACAACATAATTTCTTTGAAATGCTTGTATGATTTAGGGAGAGAAACAAGCAATAAAACAGCACGATCCTCATCGTCAATTATGACATCAATATTTTCCAAGTCCAATAAAATAGAATTGAATTCATCCAAGTGAGATTTAATAGAAGTACCTTTCGTCGTACGGATTGTGTACATACGCTCCTTCAAACGCAGCGTGTTCGCCAGAGTTTTGGCCATGTAAAGCGTATCCAGCTTGGACCATAAATCTGACGCAGTCGTCTCACTTACTACCTCACGTAGAACTTCTTTAGACAAGCACAAAAGGATGGTTGAACGTGCCTTGTCATCCAAATCTTCCCAAGTTTCGTCTGTCATTGCAGCCGGTTTCTTCTTCTTCCCAGCAAGCGCTTTCTTCAAACCGTTCTGGGTTAGAACAGCTTCCATCTGAACCTTCCAGATAGAGAAGCTAATTTTCCCGTCGAACTTCTCGATATCAAACTTAGTAACAGTTGACATCTTTGAAAATAACTCTCAATTAAACCGCTCTGATACCACTTGTTAGGAATATAGCGGAATAATGCGGAAGCGAAGAATCGAAAATTGAGAATTATAGAAGTTAAATAATAGGGGAAAATATCTAAATGACAAAATAAGACAATTGTTAATTTGGGAAATTATAACATATATATATATATATTAATCTCTAAAAAGAGAATAAAGAAAACAAATATATATTTATGTCTACGTGAAGAAACTAAAGATAGAAAGAAGAATTCAATATTGATGTTGAATGAGAGGTGTGATTCTCAAACCACAAAGCCTAATCTATTTATACATGCAAAGGAGAGAAATTTGAGCTAATGGTGGAAGAACATGAGCAGCTACGTGGAGATGTTGCGGCAATAGTGAAGGAGACAAATACGCAATGAAGTAGTTCGTGGTCCACAAGCCAATATGCATGGATTTGATTTGAGCCACATCCTAACACTTTCCAATCAAGAAGCTTGCTGCATGGATACACCTATTAATATAAAACATAATAGGTGTATTTAACTGTTCAAATTAGTAGGATACTCAATCCATCTGTGACCCAAGCTCTATTACACTTGTTCAAATTCATATTTTATTTAACTGAAACAGAAAATAGATTTATTGGAACTGTTATTTGACAAAGAGTATTTGGCAGATGGGCTAGATTTGCAATTACTTGAAGACTATAGGAACTACAAGTAGAACAATTGTCAGTTCAAGTTAGAGCAGTGGTTTTATTATATATTGTTAATTGTTATTTCAATGTTTTACTGACGGCATTAAATCATTTTTCGTGTTTTATCCCATGTTTTCATCTTACTAAACCCATAATTAAACATGGTGGAAACAAAAATTCTATTCAGGATCTCATTAATGTGGCACATTAACAATAGTAAAAATAATAACTCTCAGTCTATAGCTACTAAAGACAGTTCTAGGTGCTGGTTATTTCTGCACAACATCCATTATATGATTAATGAGTGTTTATTTTTACACAACTTCAAAAACCGAAGGAAACAATCCAAACTTACTGTTGTGTAAAATGCACCTCCACTAAATGCAGACCCCCCTGCTGCTTTTCCCCTAGCTCCGTGGTCCTGGTTACCAAACATGAGAAGAAAAAATAAGTGACATCTCAAAAGTACAAGGCAGAAATTTCATATTGATGCTCTTAGACACACATGAGAAATTCAAGAATCAGAGCCAGAACCAGTAAAAACCAACTCATACATACTGAGGGCATTCCTATAATTTCATATTGATACTTCCTACAGTTGTGGCCACACAAAGCCAGTCTTTCCTCACACTCAAAACACATATCGCACTTCTTCAGCTTTTCCCAACCACAAGGTTCAATTTACCAAACATAAATCTAATGTTCCAAGCAATATACACATGCAGCTATACCTAACATAACAGAAGTACAAAACAGCATACAATAAGTCAAATCGATCAACTCAATCCCCAACTCCCATACGGAAATCCAATCCATTTCAGATTTCCAATAGATCGCATCCTAACACTTCAAAAAACTCTTCCGCAGTACCAAAGTCTGAATCAAATTACTACTTACAAAGCAAAAGGTAGACAATTAGGCAAAACACACACATACAAACATAAATACAGTAAATACAGAGGTAGAGAAGTTGAATCGTGCATCTGAGCCTTAGAACAGAGAAACACAGGCACACAAATATGCATAGAGAGAGGGAAGGAGTGAGCTTACGGCAAACAGATTAACTTCTTCCTCTTCCTCGAAAAGATTGATATGGTAACGGCCGGCCATTTCAGCTCAGAAGGTATATATATATTACCGTATAGCGACGACGTGCGGCGAGGCCGGCGAGCTGCTGCGGATAACGACGACGTGCGACGAGGTTGTTGCAGTGGCTGGCGATAAGGAAGTCGATGGGGCGGCGGCTGGCGACGAGAAAGTTGATGGGGCGACGGCGGTGGTGACGAGGAAGTCGAGGGGCGACGGCGGTGACGACGATAAGACGGAAACGATGGAGCAACGGTCTAGCGTGCGAGACTACGGCTTTTTGTGGCAGTAGTAGCGTGTAGATTGTGGAGAGTTTTGTTTGGAAGAAGAACAAGTGCAGATCTAGGTTTTGTTATTAGCCCAAAATTTAGGGTATAGGACGTTGGCTATATCGCAGCCGACGTCGAATATTTAAATATTTATTTTTTTAAAAAATAAAAGTAACGACGTCGGTTCTTTTACAGAACTGACGTCATATCTTTAAAAAAACAATTTAAAAAAAATCTTAGAAATATACGACGTCGGCTTGTTAATGAGCCGACGTCATATATTATTTTTATTTCTTTTTTTATTATTATTAATATATTACGACGTCGGCTATATATTAAACCGACGTCGTACAATTTTTAATTTCTTTTTTTATTAATTTTTAAGACATAAGACGTCGGTTTTTTAAACAAACCGACGTTTTATGTCTTTTAAAAAAAATTAAAATTATTTTAAATTTTTAACGTCAGATTTTTAAAAAACCGACGTTAAAATGGCGACGTTGTAAGTGATTTCTGTAGTAGTGTATATTTGCTATGGGACTTTATGCCCATTTATATTGGCTATGGGATTTTACACCCATTTATATTTGCTATGGGATTTTATACCCATTTATTTTGGCTATGGGAGTTGATGCCCATTTATATTGTCTATGGGATTGTATACCCATTTATATTGGCTATGGGATTTTATACCTATTTATTTTGGCTATAAGATTTGATGCCCATTTATATTGGCTATGAGATTGTATACCCATTTATATTGGCTATGGGATTTTATACCCATTTATTTTGGCTGTGGGATTTGATGCCCATTTATATTGGCTATGGGATTGTACACCTATTTATATTGGCTATGGGATTTTATACCCATTTATTTTGGCTATGGGATTTGATGCCCATTTATATTGGCTATGAGATTGTATACCCATTTATATTGGCTATGAGATTTTATACCCATTTATTTTGGCTATGGGATTTGATGCCTATTTATATTGGCTATGGGATTTTACACCCATTTATATTGGGGCTATGGTATTTTACGCCCATTTATATTGGCTATAGGATTTTATGCCCATTTATATTGGCTATGGGATCTTATGCCCATTTATATCTGCTATGGGATCTTATGCCCATTTATATCGGCTATGGGATCTTATGTCCATTTATGTTACTAGATATGTGATTTCGTGCTTATTTATGTGATTTGGTGATTTTCCATAAAAACTTGTATTTACTTGAAAAGAGAAATCAAATATTTTAAAAGCACATATCGATTTTTAAGTAAGCCTTGTGGCTAATTATTATTGTGGTGATGTTCTTCCGAAATGATTATTCGTATGTGGAAAATGAATTAAATATTTAAAGGTACATTTTGATGTGGCTACTGGTTGTTGACGAAATAAAGAAGGTTTTGTCAGTGATTTTGAAAGAAAAGTTATTTTTGAAAGTAATGTACCTTAATTTTTTTAAAAATTTTGTTTCAGGGCAAAGTAACCCTTATTAGCATGTTTTGCTAATCACCACTGTTTTTTATGTGTTTCTTGAAAGAAAATAATTTGAACAGGGATTCATGAAGCTTGAAGTTAAAGAACGCGCTAGAAGAAGAAGGGAATAATTGTAATAGATGTAATTGAAGTATTAGACGGTTTTGTGATTAGCCTTGCATCTAGTCTTGATAGGTTAGATGTGGCGGTAGCACCCTATATAAGTGTTAGAATTTGAATTATGAATTATTTGAGACTTGAATTGAAGTACAATTTATAAGAAAATTTATTTTTAGTAATTCTATTTATACTACGTTTTGAATTGTAATGTCATTTAACGAAAGTTTTGGAAGTCAAATTTTGGGGTGTTACACCGCTGACGAGCTCAGTCGGTGGACTATGGCCTTCCCCGTGGCCTGTAGCCCTACACACCGCTGACGCGTTCAGTTGGTGGACTACAGCACATGAGGCCCACTTGATGAACTGCAGCCCTACACACCGCTGACGAGCTCAGTCGGTGGACTGCAGTCTATGAGAACCGACTTGACCGCAGCCAAGAGCCATGCACACATATCACGTAGTAAGCACATACAATTTACATTAACACATTGGGAAAGGGGAGAAAACGTATAAAGAAACCTATGTGTGGTTATCAACGTAATAGGAAATATCTTAAGGGTTCATGCATCTTTCGCCTAGGTCAACGGGGTGCCAATTGAACTAGCATGCAATACACAAGACTCTTTTATCTTATGAATGGCACCCGAAACATCAAACTAGACTTAGGCACGATAAACGGAGTCCGTCGGGACACCACGAGGGTCGGGGAACATCAAACGGGGAAGCCAAAATCCAGTGGGTCGCGGGCGGGTAGTCGGGTGGAGGGCCACCCGCCGGCGACGAGTCTCCGGGCAGCGGGTAGGTGGCGGGTCCCCCTACTCCCACCTACCCCCCACTGACTCTTTTTCAATATATTGGTCCCGGGATCTTCCGTGGAACCCGAAACCATATTTAGACACTTTTAAACATAAACGACAACACCACGTGGTCAAATAACGGATCAAAACAAAGAATCACAATGAACACATCCTAACATGACTTCTACACATAATTAACACCCGAACATGTGAATTCCAACCCAAATATACCAAGAATACCACAATACGAAATTCATGATTCAACCTAGGGCTCTAATCATATTTAAATCACAAAATCATACTTTATCTTTCAAATCAAGAACATCAAGATTTATCAAGAATCAACACACAATTATCAAGATCCTCTTAAGATTCTCAAGATCAACACATAAGATCATCTCATCAACATCAAGATCATATCATAATCATCATATAAGATTTATCAAGACACAAGCATAGAGAAGGAGCCAAAGAAGAAGATTATAGCAAGGAAAATAGGTTTTGTTGAGACATAGGTTACCTCTTAGCCTTAATTAGAATCCTTGGCTATAAATGGTCTTTCTTTAAGATCTCTTCTTCTTGATTTCTCCTATGGGATTTCTTGGGAGTTCTTGTGTGGTGAAAGTTATTGTGGTGTGACTTCTAGGTGCCTCCTATGCCCCTATTTATATATCTAAGAGTCCTAATTAGGGTCTGAATGGTAGGGGTTTGCTAATTCTATTTCTTATAGGACTAGGGGGTTGGTTTAGGGACAAGGGTCCATGGTTTATGGTGGACTTTTCCTAATTAATCAATGGAATTTAATTCTCTTTTTAGAGTAAGTAATTAAATAATTAGTTAGTTTGGAGGCCGTAACACGGGGTGTTACAGCTACCCCCAACCTTCGTGACATCACCCATCACGAATTGATATGCCTTCCTTATGCCCGCTTCCAACCTTATGGCTACCCCCAAACCTTATAGCTAGTTCCAACCATTACCTCCAGGACCCCTGTACAGCCAAGTCCAACCTTATCCCTCCGAGGACCGTCGTCCCCATCCGCCAACGACCGCCAACAATTCCACCAATTCTTAGTAAACGAGGGTACCGATCACACACATGGCAACACATGCCTCCCAAGAAATACGTGAACCCGACACAGGTCACAAACTCCATAATCACGTCACGGCCACCACGAGGACCACTGTCGTACCTTGGTGACTAATGTCCCATACCATTAATCGTGAATGTAACACCCCGAAATTTTTAAACTTCTAAAGACTTATATAATAAAGGTATTCTCTTATTAAATCCCAAACAGAGCATTACTAAACATAATAGTATGGGGTGCTATGCCACACCTGAGCTGGAGAACTCAGGTGCACAGGCTAATTAACAAAATTCCTTAATAATATCAATACATAATCATGGCACGCAGGCCGAAAAGAAAACTATCTACACTACGCCTCGATTCTCTAGCGCGCTCCAGTGTCTACTCATCAGTGCCTGAAAGCCAAATATATCTGTTCAGCGAGAGATGCTGTGTAATACCCCGTGTTATGGCCTTCAATCCCGGATTAATTATTAAATTAATCCCATTAATAATAATTAAATATGTTTTAATTCGGTTAGGTTTCCTTTAATTAATTAATAAAGGTCCACCATGAACCGTGGACCCTTGCCTAAATTAGAGTCCTAAGCCTATTAGGAATAAAGAAAGTAAACCCTTTACTATTCAGACTCTAATTAGGAATCCTAGACCTAGTTATCTATTAGGAACAAAGGAAGTAGGCCTTTTACTATTCAGACTACGATTAGGATTCCCTTTAATTAATTAATATGGTCCACTATGGACCATGGACCCTTATCCCTAAACCCAATCCTTAGTTCCAAAAGGAATAGAATTAGCAAGCCTATAATAGTAGTTCCTAACCAGGACTCCTAAATATATAAATAGGGGACTTAAGAGGCACCTAGAACCCCCCACCACAATAAACGTTCCACCACCCCAAAGTGCTCCAAGAATGCCCTTAGAAGAAATCAAGAAAGCAAGAAAGCTTAAAGAAAGACCCTTCATAGCCAAGGAATTAATTAAGGCTAAGAGGTAACCCATGTCTCAACAAAACCTATTTTCATAGCTATGATTTCCCCCTTAGGGTTTCCCCCATATGATTGTAAATGGCGAATTACTATGATTATTATTGATGTTGATTTAATGATTCCATGGGGAATCTTGATAATCTTGATATTGGGAGTTTCTTGATAATTGTGATGTTCTTGATGATTAATTGGGATTCTTGGTGATTATGTGTTGTTCTTGGTGATTATGATGTTCTTGATGATTAATTGGTAACCTTGATGATTATGTGTTATTCCTAC